ATACATGTATAAAATACTAAAATGAAGAAAAATACAAATTTCATCTTTTTTAATGTGTAATTTTACACAATAAAATAAATTTTATATTTAGCTAACGTAAAATTATTATATAATATTTTTTAAAGTTTTAACGTTTCCCTAAAATCTGAGAATCACTGATCGATTATAAGCTTCCACACAGTTAAAATCTTTTAAACGCGCCGGATAAAATTTGTTTTTTTTTTTTATCCTTTACTCGCAATCAGATCATTTTTACTTATCCCGAAAATCGGGAAAATTACCGCGTCTACTTATTACGTCGAGCGGTTTTATATCATCGTCAACGATCGCTCGCGTTCCAAAGTAATAAATTTCTCGTTTTTTTCTCTCATCCTGAATCCCTGTCCTTATCAATTGCGTTTTTTTGTTGTCAGTTTCATCCGGCTTTCGTTCTTATATATATTTAGCGATGTCTTCAGTATTATTTTATTTATCATTTAGTATCATTATCGTTATCATTAGTATCGCTATACTGCTTCACTACGGTTGGCTTTTGGACGTGGATTTGGATGGAGTGGTGTATACTGCAATATGCGCGCGCGTGAAAGAGAAAGATTAAAAGCTCCAACATTTGTTCTTTTCTTGCTTTCGCACCGTTTTGTTCAAATCAAGATATAAACGAGAGTTTTTTTTTTTTACATTCTCTCATTCATTTTTAACCCTTCGCGTCCCAGACCTCAAAAATGACAAGTTGACCGGACTGGGTCCGTGACCCGCGCGACCTTAAGATCGAATAGGGTAAAAGACCCAATTACTGTCACCTGCCCAATTACCGTCACTCTAAGCTATTTTATTAAAAATATTAAATAAATCTTAAAAAGTTATGCATGAAAACAATCTAACATAGAATTTTAAGTGCAATTAATATAACAAAAAATCCAGCACTCAACATTCTTGTCTCATTTCTTTTAATTTAGGCGTGACGGTAATAGCTCTCGCATCGTTCTTTTTTAATTATTAAATTTATAAATAAAAATAGAGATTTTGAGAGACGTATTATTTTTTTTCTTATATTAGAGACATTGAATAATACCAGATAAAAAGAAAAACACATGTTTTTGATAAATAAATAGTAAAAACAATTCACTAACGCCAGAGTTGATCATTCAGGCGACAGTAATTGGGTCTTTTACCCCATCTCCGTGAAAAATCAATATTTTTTCAATTTTGTTTTTTTTTTTAATCAAAAGCTTGAACGACTCTGCGTCAATAAAAAAAAACAAATTAAAACAATCTCTAGTAGCTTCGAAGATAAAAGTTTTTTTAAAAAAACCTGATTTTTTCCAGAAACGCTGATGCGCAATTTTTAACTGGGTCTGGGAGACCCATGTCTGGACTTGAAGAGTTAAACAGGGTGACAATGAAAAACCAAATAAAATCGTTTTGATTGTTCTGAAAAAACAATAGATGATCTAAAAAATATCACCAACTTCTGAACGAGAAAAATTATTCGAAAAAAACTCTCGTCTGTCTCGTCAAGATATCTCTCTTTGAGCGTAGATCTTTTTCTTATCGTCACATCACCGTTTTGTTATTGTTTTTTCTTCAAGGAGGAACGTACATGCGAAAGAACATACATTTTGCGTACAAGAAATCAGACGGAATACGTAGCGTGCACATTAGGTTGGTAGCGTCAATCTTTCCTTGTTCATTTTTTTCTCTCGTTATAATAATTTTCTTTCCAAAAAATCTGTGCTTCTCCAGTTTTCCCGATGAATTTCTCGACGTTTCGGTCGAGACAAGCGCGCCAAAAATTCCGCAATTCTTCCATTATTATTATAGCGTTCGTTATATTATATCGTTACACACAACACACACAGCGACACTTCGTGTTATATCTTTTTTAAATTGCGAAGATGCACGACGCGCTATGTAATTTTGTGTGAAAAACACTACGCCTCACTACAGTAATTCATTTCGCTCTCTCGTAAATGATGACTAAATTGGGCCGTGAAATTGTGTCGGGATCGCATCTGCGGCTTACATACATTTCTCGGCCGTCTGCGCGGCGAATTCGCGATATGATCAAAAAAAAAAAAAAAAAAAAAATCGTAACAAAAAAAGTTTTCAGGACTTGATGCACCTGAATAAAAAATTTTTCTTTTTTTTCAAAATGAGAAAAAATAACAGAAGATTGCTTTTTTTTTTTTTACACATTTTGATTCAACTTTTTTTACGTACGTATAATCAACCGTATATATTCTCTCATGCTTTGTCACGACAGACCCCGTCAGTTCTTGTCAAATAGTTAATCCGTGTCTTTTTAATTGTAGAAGTTTCAATCGCGATGCAATTACGTTGGAAGCAAAGTTGATGCGCGCGTGTCGTGGAAATATACACTGAGAAAAAAAAGTTGTTGAAGTAACAAAATAGTATTTGATTCAACTCCATACGCAGCGGTCACGGGCTGTCAATAGAAATATTGATTAATGTAAGAAGATGATCATGTTTCAACAGATATAATAATTAGGGTTATACCGAAAGACAATTTAGTTGTTTTAACAAAATTACAATTTGCTTAAATACAGATAACTTTGAATGCGCAACGCAATAGGACGACACAATATTTTGTCTGCTTATAAAAACAAGCAGTTTGATTAGATGAAATACTTAGTTACAAAGAAATTCAGATTAATATTCAATTAAATTAAATGAGAATTGCCTATTTCATCTTTTTTAACAGTATCTTTTATTTGAAATTGTCACAACTTATGTTCGACAAAACAATTCATGGGTTTAGTGAATTAAATAATGTTCATTACCATTAACTATTGTTAATTCAACTTGTACGAATTTGTTATCTTTATTACCATATGTTTGAATTAAAAAAAACAAGATATTTCAGATAACAAACTGAAACTCACCTAAACGCATTTAGTTGAGTTAATAGTATTTTTTTCTCAGTGTACTTTGACGGAAAAAAACGATATTTCTCTCGAAATTCGATCGAAAACAATAATTTGTCATATTTTGTAATAATTTTTAAAAATAATCAACAACACGGCGAATACATACCGATGTAAGCTCTTGTCCACGAAGTCACATGAGACGGTCGAGATTTGATTTTTGAAGACAAAGCTTTCGTAGCAACAACGCATAAGTAAAAATCATCAATACGAATCGTCTCTCGATACGAAAAGAAACTAATTCGCAAGATTTTGCCGAGGATTCCGCAAATCTCTTAAAAATTCACATATAGCGAGATTACTTTGGAATGGAAAAAGTTCTCTCCGCGCAAAAAAAAAAAAGAAGGAAAAACACACACGTAACCGTAGAAACTAAATAAATATACAAATAAATTATACACAATAAATTATGTATTTACACACACAAATAAATATTTTAAATGTTATATTTACAAAATATATTTATATGTAGTTAAAAGCTCCGACTCTCCTCGCAATTATTTTATCGCGGAACGGTGGATTTAAACAATAATTAAATACTCGCTGGAGAATGTCGATTCGAGGAATCCTCGGTGCGACAACCGCATTTTTTTTTTTATTCGTTAACACCACAAGTGCGATACCCTACTAAACTGTATACATACGTGTGTATACGTGTGTTAATAATTGTATATTCCGTATATAGACTTATATAAAACGCACGAAGCGGGTTACCCGAAGGCTACGTAATAACCTTCCTGGTTTTAATTTTATTTATAGCGGCAAGCCGTTTCTCTTTTTGTCTTTTTCTTTTTGTTTTTTTCTTTTTTTTTCACCTGTGTCGACTCGCTAGTCGGCTTCGAGTTTTTTTTTATCAATGGAAAAAGAATTCGGGCTTAACTACGGTTGGATTCCGCGTGCGCGGAATCACTTTAATATCCTATATAACGTTAAAGTGTATGTGTTATGTTTTTTTGGTTTCGCATGAATGTCGTGGTTTTTCGTATATTGACAACCCCATCCCTGTGTCCGCGCGTTTCTTCTCAAGTTTACGCGCGGGATGTATGTGTAATTATATATGCACGTGTATGTAATTGATGTATTTTCTCGGAGCCTATACGACGAGATCTCGCAACGAGATCGCTGTTCAGTCGGAAAAACGTGTGAATATATCATTTTGCGTAAGTACAGACGGCGTCATTAATTCGAATAATAGGCGCGGGGATCATAAAAAGTCCAGTTGATCCAAATATATCCATTAGTCCCAAAATCGGGTGTCCAGTTGTGGACACCCGGATTGCTACTAGTTAGTTAGTACGGCGCCCGTTGGCGCTACGAGCAACCGCCCCGCTTGCCCTCCGATCCCCGGCGGGGGGATTCCCCGCGCCTATTCTTCGAATTAATGACGCCGTTTGTACGTGTGTGTGTGGATGTACGTGTGTGTTTTTTGCGAAGTGTGTGTACGTGTTATTTGTTAATCTGTTGTGTAAGCATATGGATGAATGATTGCCACGTTCTTTGAATCATTCCCCGGAGTTCGAAACGAGACCGACGCGTAACCTGCACGCACCGTCGTCGTAATGAGCTTCTACCCACGACAATTTTTTTCGTATTCTTTCACCCTGACGTATCCTCTTTCTCTTGTCTTGAAATTATTATTATTATTTTTTTTTTTAAATTACTAACGACGCGGATTTCACGATGCCGTCTCTGTCTTTTCGGTAGAAAAGGTAGGAAGATTTTTTTTTTTCACATTAAGCGGTGATTTGTAACATTTGAGCCTCTGTGTCTCTTATTGCCTCCGTGAAAATTTTTTTGAACTCGAAATTTCGTTCAATTTAACAGATATATCTCGATTGTTCTAATCTTAATAATTCTCTAGTTAAATCAATCGCGAATCTCAATTATAAATTTCAATCAAAAACGTTTAACAACGCCGGTTGATTTTATTTTATAGTTTATTCCTCGATGAAGACTTAATTTATTTTAAAAGTTAATAAATACAGCTCAATAAATAAGATAAAATAATATTATTTATTTAATTGTATCTTTCCCGTATCTTTCTGTTATGACGTTATTACTACTTTTCTGTAAAATTATTTTCACATAATTACTGAAATATAGTTACTAGAAGATGATCAGAAATATATTGATCGAAACGTCTACACATCGCACATAAATTAGTGTTTTCATTCCGTCACCATCTTGGACTCAATGCTCATTTGGTTGATTCGTTTATTTTATTTTATTTATTTTATAATTGCAATTTTCTTTTTGAAATAATTTTCATTTTATATTTATATACAAAAGATACGCGTTTCTCTCTTTAAAACTTTTTCGAATACTTCCGGAATCGAGTAATATCTCTAATAGGGAAATTTAAGAAAGATTTTTTTGAATTTTTTTCAACGACGACGAACGAATGTTTGTCATAAAGTCAATAATTGTTTAAATCATATTTTTCACAGAGACATTGAACGATTGTTAATTTTTTTAATTTCATTGAATTTTCTCTCTTTTTTGTTACGTTTTTCTTCCTTTCCTCTTCCTTTTCACATGCTACGACTTTTTGAGCAGCTACAAGCTACGGAAAGCAGATGGACAACCGACGGTAGGCGGACATTAGTGCGGACAGGGCGATGTCTCTCTATCCCAGATGTTCTGCCGTTTCCGGGATGAGAAACATGGAATAATTCGTCGGAGCGTTCTTCTTCTTCTTCTTTCTTATCTCGTGCCCTACCTTTGAGGGACACAGACGTCTAATTCTCCGCGCCGTTGTTGCCCTTTCCCCAGAACTTGTCGAAACGATTCCGCGCCTTCTCCAGAACGTCGCTCGCCGTTGAGCGTTGCGCCGAACCCGGTATAACCGCCGGCGCCTCCAGTACGTGATAACCGCCTGTAGTGCTAGTTCCGGTGCTACCTACGGTACCCGTCGTGCCGCTAGTTGCACCATTGCCACCGCTACCGCTACCCTGAGTCGGCGATTCGGCCTCGAGAACGCGGTAACTCTGCTGCTGCTGCTGCTGCTGCGATACGGTAGGCGTTGTCGATGACGATGTCGTTGTTATCGACGCCGTCGTGGTCACCGTCGCCGGTACGCTGCCTTCCTTCTTTCTCTCCATCTCGAACGTTGGATCCTCCAAACGTCTCAAATTTGTGCCGGCCACCGGTTTTATCGATAGTTCCGGACTCTGTCGCTCTTTCGTTTCTTCGATGATGTCAGTAGATTCCTAAAAACAAAAAAATAAACACAATAGAGAATAGCGCGATATTAGTTTTGTTACTTATTTGGAAATAGAAAAATTTTAATTCGACATCTCAAAAGCAAGCAATCTTCGGACCTTTTCGCCCTTCGTGGGCGTATCCTGCACGTTCGTGGGCAACGGACTGTCCCTCTCCGAGTCCAGATCCTTGTGACCGTTTATGCCGCTAAAACTGCCGAGCGAGACGCTCTCGCTTTCGGGTGACTTGTAACCGGAGTGCTGGGAATGATGCGACTTGTGTTGAGCCGCGAGCTCCGGCGGCGCTGACTGCGGCGCTGACGGTACCGAAGAGGGTGCCCACGTCTTTGCCTCGCTATGCGGACGTGTGAGGGGTTCTTCGAAGCGCAATTAAGAATTTTGTGACATCAAATATAATTTTGAGAAAAATATTTTCTACAATACCTTAAATTAATAATAACAAGAAGAAGATTCTTCGAGCTCGGGAGTCTTTAAACTAACGAATGTGAAATAAATTGGGTTGCAAGAGCCGTTTGCAGGATGTGCAGAGAATGTGCTTAAATACTACCATGATCAAAAAATAACCGGAATTTATTCATAAAAAGAAAAGTACATGTTTATTCTTCAAAATTCAAGTTGTCCCCTTCAAAGTAGTCCCCGTCGGCTGCGATGCACTTGTGCCAGCGTTTGATCCACCCCTCG